CGCCACCACTCCTACCGCCGCCATCAACACACGCGCAACGCCCCCCGCACTGCCTCAAAGGAAGGACGCAAGAGACCGTCCGCACGCACGCCCGCACGCTCGCCTGTACGTCAGTACGTCCGTCATGTGAGCCGCCGCCATAACCCTGCCGCTATAGCCCTCCCGCCTCATCTCCCGCCGCCATGTCGTCTTTCCCGGAGCTGTATTTTAACGTAGATAACGGCTACCTAGAAGGCTTGGTCCGCGGTTTTAAGGCGGGGGTGCTCCGGCAGGGTGACTACGTGAACTTGGTGCAGTGCGAGAGCCTGGAGGGTGAGTTGGGGGGGAGGAGGTGTTTGAGGTGTGTGGGGTCACCCCCCGCCTTCATACTGAAGGGAATGGCTGGCGGGGTGAGGAGGAAGCTCGGGTGGAGGGATGGTGGGGCAGTGAGGAGGCGAAGGATTGTGTGGCAGCTCGGAAAAGAGTCCCTGCAGGCGTTTGTGAGGCGTTTTTCCCTCTTCACTGCTTGGCTGAGCAGGCACTTGATGTCATAGAATCATAGAATGGTTTGGTTTGGATCGTCTAGTTCCAACCCTCCACTTCCATGGGCTGAGAAACCTCACATTAGAGTTGTTCCCCCACCGTGGCTGCTCCCTCCGAGCTCAGATGACTCAATTTCCCGGGTTTGTGATTATAGCATCTGATTAAAGCTGGCAGTTTAAGGAAGCTCAAGCTCCCAGTGCTTTCTTGAGGTGGCTGAATAGGTGTGTTTCCTGTCGTTGTTGGGAACCTGGTTAGTTTGTCAGGCTTTGCTGAGGAGTCTTGTTTTGGGCTTTCCCCTCCTAAATGGAAGCTAGAGCAGGAAGGCTTTTTAAAGCCAAAAGCAAGATTAATGGAGTAATCTAACTTAATCCTTGATACCTGTGATCAGTTTTTGATGAGATTGGGTCACCTAGGAAAGTATGTGCTGTTGCTGAAGGGTTGCTAGTGGAAGAAATCTTGTGCAGACCTTTGTAAATTCACTGGTGAATTACCCTTCACGTGTAATCTTGAGTTCTCTTTCAAGGCTAATCCTGATTTCCAACCATCATCTTTTATTCTAGATTGGTGTGTACAAACCTAGAGATCTGTGAAGGTTTTGGTCAGTGATGCTCTTCACCTGTGGTTAGTTTATCTTAATTAGCCAGTGCTGATCTATTTCTCTGTATCAGTGACCTGCTTAACAGTTTTCACTCATGGGTGTTCAGAACCTGGATCACAAATCATGAAGATCGAAACCAGGTCTCTCATGAAACAGGCCATAAACATGTATCTATAGATGTTGGTTATTTTGGTAAGTGGGACTATAAATTAGTCCTATTGGATCATTCTTTCTTCTGAAAATACTGGTGAAGCATCAGCCTGATCTTGATGGTCATTGCTGAGTAGTTGAAATTAATATTAACTATCTAGAGGGTCCTTGGCGAGACGAACCCTGGATGCAAGACCTGGAGCTACTCACTCAACTGTTAAACAACAGAATGTGAACAGAATGCTGTGAAGTGCCTCAGTCTCTACCTTAAAACATACCCAGGGTGGATTTACTTAGGATAGAAGCCCCTTTTCAAATACATTTTTTTTGCAGCTCTTTGCTTGCAGCAGTCTCTGTCATTCTTGCTATGGAGCCCAGGGCCTGGAAGAGAGTGGTGGGAGGTATTCCTTCTCTCCTCCTAGTCACAAGTCTCTGCATGCCCTAAACTATCGCTTTGTCACCTTTCCTGGGGGTAACTTCCTCTTTGATGTCTTTCTGTACTTACAGCTTCTTTTTCTTATTTTTTCTCCCCTCCTTTCCTTGCCTTCTGAATGAGGTTGTGTAAACTTAGCTCTTCCTTAGAGTGGTGTTTTCTCCATTTGGAGTGATCATTTCAGAGTTCCCATATCAATCACAGGATCCCAGGTTGGAAGGGACCTCAAGAATCATCTGGTCCAACCTTTCTAGGCAAAGCATGATGTGTTCAGCCCAGTCTGAAGTGTCTAGTGTTGGGGAGTCCAAACTTCCCTGCAGAGGTTATTCCAATGGCTGGTTGTTCTCATTGGGAAAAATTTTCCTCTTGTGTCCAGTCAGAATCTTCCCAGGAGTAACTTGTGCCATCCCCGCTAATGTATTTGTCTTGGTATTGTTACTGTCCTGTCCTGACAGCTCCCTGGTGGTGGCTGCTGCTATGCTCTTCGTCACCCTTCATTTAGAGCCTGAAGGCTGTTCTAAGTTCACTGCCAGTCTCATTCCTCCTTCACTTGCCTTTCTGTGTCTCTGGAGACACAGAAAGTGCCAAAATCGCTCTACAAGACACTCTAAATTGGTGCTTTTATAGAGGTTTTTTTCTTCAAAGGAACATTGTTCTTGATCACTTATTATGTCTGTGGTCAGACCATTTTCTTTCCTCTGTCCCTTTAATTCCTGTTTTCCTATTTTAGTACCTGTTTTCTATGCTTTGCAGACTTTTAACATTTTCTCTCCCAGATGCTTGTCTGCATTAAATTCAGGTAGTAGCTAGCTGATTACCAGCCAAAATAATTACTCTGTCATAAAATACTTTTTCTGCCATTCTGTTTTGTCTTCACTGCTCTTTTTGCCTGAGTCTGGCTCTGCAGTTAGTTCAGTCCTGGAGCAAATTATCTCCTCCTTCATCCTGAAGAACCAAGGCTGCCTGTGGGCTGGCCCTGGGAATCTGGGATCTGTCTCGTTGCTGCTGCTTGGAGAATGTATTGCTTCCAGGTCTGAAATGCTGCTTCCTCTAGTGTGCTTGTATCGTTCTGGAAGCACAAAGGAATCGACGTCTCTGCTTCAGGACTTGGGCTGACAGCTTAATGCTGCTGGAAGGAGATCATGCTTTTCTGTGTGATCCTCTGCTTATCTGATCACAAAGAAACCCAGTTCAAGCTCTAGCTTATCGATGAGTTGGAAATAGAGCCAAACAGGCACTCTGTGATCAGGCAGGCTGTAAGAAGGAGCAGGAAAACATGACCAGGATTGAGGGAAGGGTGTAAGAGCTGTCTTGGCTTAAGCTTTCTCTTGAAACCCTCACCAATAATATATTTAATCCCTTCTTTCATCTCCAAAAGTCGTGATTGTTTCTCTGCCAGAGGTCCTTGTGTGTCACACACCTGTGCTGGATATTGCTTGGAACCTGGTGGCCCTCGGCTGCAGCCAATTCCTGCTTCTGACACAAGGTGTCAGTGAAGGACTTGGAGCTGCCTTCCTTTGCCTCGATGCTGTGAGCATGGATCTGTGCTTGAGTGGAATCTGCCTTGGATAACCAAACTTATGAGTCACCCACGTTTCTGCTGTCAAAAGGATGGTGAGCTGTCTCCAGCTTCTAAAAGCTGCGGTGGCCCGTTAGAGGTCTGGTGTCATCTCTGGAGGATAAAAAACTGTTGATGCAGTTGGGCAGCAGTGCTGCTTTTAAGCAGCAGAGTTCAGTCTGGGACTGGAATGTAGGTTATTGGCAGGCTTTACTGTTGGTCTGCAATGCTTCATACTCCAAAAAGTATGTGGAGCCTGAGAAGTGCACAGAAGCATCTTCTTTAGAAACAGGAATTTCTTTTCCTTCAAGTCAGCGTTCATGAGCTTTCTATCTCTAACATTCTTCTTCTTTCCACAGTGTTAGCATAGGAAACATTTATTTTTGACCTCCCAGTGTTACAGACATGATTGATACAGTGAAATCCAGCAGCAGGACATATCACCTTCTACTTGGGTAATGAGGTTGTGAAATGGCCAGCTGAGCAGTGGAAGGTACTTGGCTGAAGGTTGTTAGTGTAAGCTTTTGTTGGGAAAGGCTTTCCACAGGCCGTGTATTTCCTCCACCATGACCTCTCCGTGGGTGCTAGTGCTTCTATTGGTGCAGTTGGTCCAGCTGGGGTCTTGTGCACCTTATGGAAACAGTGGTGGCAACGACTCTGTCCTGTCTTCAGCTTAAGGTGTGTGTAGAACTAGTCTCGTGCCCCTGCAAGGCTCTATTGTATCTGTGCGTCTCAGCCTGCACTTTTTCCTGTGAAAGCTCTTGGGTTTTCAGTTCTCGTAACTGCAAGGTAGTGGTGTTGTGTCACATCTGTGAAGAGCACAGCAACCATCTGAGCCCCAAATATGTATTTGGTAGGCAACGTCTGGCTAGGAGAAGAAAGTGCATGTGATTCTTATAGGTAGAAAGGATTTCCAAAACTGTGGTCCTCTCATGTCCTCGATTTGGTCCTCCATTTCTAGGACACTTGTGAATCAGCAGTGAAACTGGAGAGCTTGAGCCACTGGACTGCCTGGCTTCACACCAGCTGGAGGGCATGGTGGTCTGCCTGAACAGTGTCCTCGCATCAGAGCCCTGTTTCCTGTCGCATGCATCTGCAGAAATACATAGTGAGCGCTATGCTCTTGATACAGGGCTGGATGGTGTAGAATAAACCAAGACTGGATGAGTTGGTTGGTTTTGAGTCTTGAAGAGCATTTCCAGGGTTGCTGTGTGTAGCCCTCCCTGCCCAGAAGGGGAGTGCTGCTTTCATTCTGCTGAGGAGTGCATAGCTAAAGGTTTGCTGTCCTAAATGCCAGTTCAATGTAATGACATCTGCTTCTCCCCCACTCTCTCCTCTTCCTCTTTCTCCGGGTAAAGGAGAGGTGATGAAATAACTGGAAGCATACTGAGCATGTGGTTGAGCCACTGTGGGGTAGAATGTGTCTGTCTTCTTGTCTAACCACAGAACAGTAGACACACCAGAACAAAGGCCTGCCTGAGCAGAGCTGTGGCCTCTTGCAGGCAAGAAATGGATGCTTGGAGCGTTTCCTCTGTGCACCAGGCTTTTGCTGATTGCAGTATGTGCTTTTGTTTTCATAGTCCTAACAATCTTTTTTCTCTCCTGGAGGCTGCCTTTGCTTTATGGTGTTACGTACTGAGTGTTCACCACATCTCCATTTGTTGAGAGAAGAGCAGGAGAGGCTGCGTTACCCTTCTTTCTTCCATTTTATTGCTGTGGTCCTGGAGTTCAGGCCCAAAAAAGGTTGGAGCTGGGCCTCTCCTTTGGCTAACCACATGGGCAGTGTGTCCTCTCTTTTGCAGAGAAGTCGCATTATTACCAGCGCTACAGACTGCCTCCAAGCCTGCTTTTGACGCTTTGATCTGTGGAGGAGCTCATGGTGATCTCCTGGGTGTCGGGAGGACAGGGTAGATCCTTTCCCATGCAGCTCCTCTGCTGTACAAGCAATCAAGGAGTGGCCACTTGATAGTCCTGAAGTGTGGCCATGCTTAGATCCATCTTGAACTCTGCAAATGGTTCAGTCTGAATCCTGAACTCAGTGGGTGTAGAAG